ACCCCATATATGCTAAAGCCTTTTTGTCTTTTTTGAAACGTGTTATTGGAGTATTATTACAAACTAATATTGAAACTGCAAAAAACAGTTTCATGTATACGCGCATTCACTAATGAGTAATGACAACTTATAAGCCATACATTTTCCGATAACGACAGAACGCTTGTGTAGCCTTTAGTCGCTCTTAGTGACTAATAATTTTTTTTAAGGGGGGGGGCAAAATGGAAGGGAGGGGGGGAGGGGGGCAAAAAATAATTTGTGGGGCATTTCCCCCCCCCCCCCCCTTGCCACCCCCCTCCCACCTGGCGCCGCCACTGATGACTAGAGACTCGCACCTATTATCTCTATTCCTACATTTGCCACGGAGAAATAATACAAAGAAAAATTTCAGTCAAGACACTGGTTTACTGCATACTCTTATATGATTAAAATATCTGGTGAAGCATTTGGACTAAATGAAAACTAAAGGAAGTTAAAATTAATTCCCCATCTTTCCTTCCTTTTCTTTAAACAAAGCGTAGTATATATACCTTCAGTGTACATCCTATAGTGGTGTTGCATTCCTGGCACACGGAGTCATACGAAATAAATAACATAAAATCTTTAGAGGCGTTTATACGGTTATTGGATACTGCAATCTTTAGTCCAGCGGCTGTTACTCCTTCGCTACCATAGTCACCGAAATTAACAGGTGATTCTGGGAGTGAACATTTCACTTCAGCGAGATCTTTCATCAATCCAGGGTACAACGAGATAGTGTTACTAGGCTTCCACACCGATTCAATAACCTTGGGGGAAAGTGCGATTATTAGGAAATTTGTTTTGATAGTGTAGGAGGTAGAAGGTAGCAAATGAACCTGTCAGTTACTTCAAAACTATATATGAGTTATGCTGTTTATTTTGCGACCGTGCGGCTACGGAGACGTGAGCAATTCAATTTCATGCTTTATTATATTCATTTTGAAATCAGTGATGTTTCCTGCAATCTGATTGGTTCACTGGAGTGCGATTTCAACACGAATCGCACTCCTAGCAGTGCGATTCGTGCTGAAATCGTCCTTCTTTCAACCAATCACATCATAGTGCTGATTTCAGACAACCAATCACATTTAGTAATGGGATTCAAACAGCCAATCGATTTTAAGAAAAATGTTATATGGCAAATGTGCAAAAACAAAAAATTTACATGATTAATACTCTTCTTCACTGCCTGGCAATTTTTTTCACATAAAAACAAAAAAATATGGATAGCTACAGTAAACTATCAAAGAATTAAAATTTCGCAAGTAGTAACAGGCAAGTTAAGAACATAATCTTCTGTCAAACATGGTCAAAATGTCAACAAAAGCAAATTTAAAGTGTCAGGCAAAAGAAGGTAAATTCGCCTATCGTATTTCCAATTTTAAACGCACAAAACTGCACCAAAAGTATCAAATCACTCGTAAAACTTACAATATGTTTAAACTTACTTGCCTTCATTTCTTTAACATTTTTGCAGTATTTTGTAATAAAATACAATATATAAAGTCTGCTGTGTTGGTGTAATGTACTGCCCGGTGTGGATATACACTCAGAGTAACATCACACAAACACAATATATAAAGTCATTTACTGTATAAACAAAACTAAAACTGTAAAAGTTCATCTTGTTCGCTTATTGTTGCTATGGTACAGCACTCAGGGAAGTAGAGGAAGTGTATCTTTTGCAAACAAAAGCGTTTCCGGTTTTCAAAAATGTTTAAGATTTCAAATTAATAAAGTGGAAATTGCACTTCGTTTCGTGCAACTTTAGACTGAAAACAAGCTTGTGATTACAAATCACACTCCCGCTTCGCGGTCGTGCGATTTTGTAATCACGAGTTTGATTTCAGACCAAATGGCACTCCACTCAGTGCAATTACCATTATGTATCGATTTTAATATAATTTACAGGATGTGATGTGCGTGATAGGCATGCAGCAGTTATATCATTGTTATGGTTTGGTTAAAAGGGCATGAATTTTATTGAATGCATATGTTTCTTGCACAATAATCTGGGTCAGGAATAGGGTCATGATTGGGATTAAGATCGAAGAAAAATATTTTTGTATGAAAACGAGAATATTACCAAGTGACCAAAAAGTTTTTATAAACATGAAACACTTCATTTAGTTTGAAGAAAAACGAAACACGGCGAAGAACGATATAACATTTATGAGATATTAGCAAAATAGTGACGTCAAAGCATTCTGCATTTAAAAATTACTGTATGATTACGTGAAATTACTTTGTTTTCACCAGGGTGTATATTTGCTTTTGTGCCTTAATTCAAATAACTTTGACAGCAAGACAAAACTTAAGCATTGCATGCGTATTCTTTGTAATTTTCACTCCTAGTCAAATTGAATATAGCGGAATTGAAAGGGCATGCACGCATGTAAAAAGGTGGATACATGATAAGTCAGTATACTGTACGCATTCTATATCTATTATTATTTCTATGGGCCACATACACGCTTAACAGATTGCACGATGCGTTTAAAGACACTATCCATGCATTCACTGAAAAACGGTAGTAAATGTTTTTATTAAAGATTTTATACTCTCTAAATAACGTCCATGCAGCTCTTCCATTTTGATTTCTTTTTAAATTTTAAGCATGTTGTTTTTGCAGAATTGTGATAAAATTTTATTATTATTATTATAATTATTATTTCACATCTTTTTACACGGTAACTCATCAACCTAACTATTACTAAACATATGATTTCGAATTTTGTTTACATCAAAATTCCGTAACAGTCTGTTTCATCAGTAAAGAATAATCAGGCGGTATTCTTTACTGATGAAACAGACTGTTGCGGAATTTTGAGGTAAGCGAAATTCTACATTTGCTCTATCTTTATGATATTGAGCACTTTTTGCGTTTCGTATACACAAACCTACTCGTATATATATATATATATATATATATATATATATATATATATATATATATATATATATATATATATATAT